ATATGTCTGATAGCAAAATTAAAAAAAAAAAGATGAATATAGAAATAATTGATTTGGGATATTTCTCTTCAATATCTTGAAAGGATGTAGCACCACTTCTTTCAAACCAGTGGGACCATTTGAGTGGGACAGTTGTGGGAAGCACACCTCTTCAGCATGCCACCTTACTTCAAAAGAAGCAGCAGGCCTCGCCTTCTCCTTGTTCAGTCTGTCACAAATAAACAGTCTCCGGATTCTGTTTGGTATTGATGCATTTCTGTTTGGATGTGGCTACTACAGCTGTCTAACATGACGAGTAGATTCTCCCTTAAAATTTTAAGAATCACTTCAATTAATGCAACCACTGCCATTAAAGTAGTAGATTCTTCTTTCTTTTGTTTTTTTTTTCTTTTTTTGGAGAGGTTTTTGCTATAGGGTGCGTGAGCTTGCCAGACAGACAGACAGAGACAGAGAGACAGAAAGCGAAAAATCACCCCCCAGGGGAATGGTCACGCCGCAATCCCTTCTCCTCCATTCTCCTCTTGGGACCTTGGGCACGCACACACACGTGCCCGGCGTGAGTTTAAGCCACCGGGTCCAGGACTTGAACTGCAGTCGACCAAGTGTGAGTCCAGCAACATAGCCATTACGCTAATTACACTAGATTCTTATTTCTAATTCAATCCCTGAGCTTAAGATCCACAAGACTATCCTTATATTTTAGAGCTTATCCTTATATACAACAGAAAGCTGTGTAATTAAGTGGAGTGGTCATATTTCAAATCTAGGATCTCAACCTCAACTGTCATACTGCCGGCATTGTCTACTCTTTCACAACCAATGTTTCTACTCTTTTCCTTAATAGATTCTTTCCTGCTTCCTGAGACAGCTACTCCAAAGCTGCCTTGCTTCAAACTGTCCACACCTCCTCCATTACCCTCACTTTCAGCTGGCAATTTTATTAAAAAGTAGAAATTAGGAGCTGGCAAGTGGTGTGGTGGTTAAAGCACTCGATCCCACATGGTGGGCTACAGTTTGAGTCCCAAACCTGGTGGCTAGCTTTCCTGCTTTCCCTTTCTCTCTCTCTCCTCTTTCTCTCTCTCTCCTCTTTCTCTCTCTCTCTTTCTATCCATCTCTAGTCAAATTAAGATAATGATAGATGAAATTAAGTAAATTTTTTATTTTAAAGTAGAAATAAAACACAAATTATTCATCTGGCCACTTTAAGCCTACAATCCTACAACGCTACAATTCTTTTTTTCTGAGCATTAAAGACCTCCTCTCATGAAGACTGGTCTTTCTGCATTTGTCCTGGACTTCTACCTTGTCGCTTCTTGAAGACTTCACTCCTCCAGTCATCCTCCACCTCTCCCCCATCGGCACCCTCCCACTTTCTAGCAGAAAATGCCCACTCTAGCTACTCCTTTGTTGAAATAAAACAAGCAAAACAGAACACCTCATCCACATGTCCGGCCCACCCTCTAGAGCTACCCACAGGGCAGGGCTGTCTCCATGTCCTCACACCCATGTGTTCTCATCCCCGACCCACTGAACGCCCCTTGTCAAGATGGCCAATAATCTCCATGTCACTAGACCTGATGGGCACCTAGGAAGGTGTTTATGCCCTTGTTCTTTCTCTGGCTTTATACCCGCTCACAGTCTCCCTCCTATCTCCTCAGAAGCTTTTCCTCATTCTCTTTCTGTCACTGGCTTCCACAGCCCTGTTGAAGATCAGGAATTAACCCTGGATCTCGACTCTCTCCCCCAGGGGTATCTATTTACATCCAAATCAACTTCATGTGGGTGATTTCAAACTTTGTATCCTCAGCTTAGGCCTCCTTCCAAACTCCAGATGGGTAAGTCCACCTGTCTAACTGATGTTTTCACTTGCATTCCCAATGGACAATTTACATGGACAACTCCATAACAAAATTCTTGACGCTTCCCCTCAAAATCATACCCAACCCTTCTACCCCGTTTAGTCTTTGTTTTAGCCAGTAATAAAAATAGCTAACATTTGACAACGCTTACTATGTGCTAGTAAACAAGTCAGACCCCGGGAACTCCAGCATTCACAATAGTCACATGGAGTAGACATTAGTTTGTTTGTTTGTTTGTTTGTTTGTTTGTTTGTTTTTGAGAGGTTTTTGCTATAGGGCGCGCGTGCTTGCCAGACAAAGAGACAGAAAGTGAGAAATCACCCCCCCAGGGGGGATGGCCACGCTGCAATCCCTTCTCCTCCATTCTCCTCTCAGGATCTTGGGCACGCACGCACACACGCCTGGCATGAGTTTTAAGCCACCGGGTCCAGTTCGCGAACCGCGGTTGACTACGTGGGAGTCCAGCGACATAGCCATTATGCTAACTGCTGGTCCCTAGACATTAGTTTTATACCCACTTTATAGAGAAGAAAACCAAGACACAGAAAGCTTAACTATGGCCAGGCCAAGCAGCTACTAAGAATCTCTCATGGGTTTAGGGCCCAGATATCTATCCTGAGGGCCAGTGTTCTTATCAATATGTAATAGTGTCCTCTCCTCAGAAATCTAAAAGTCTTATTGATTATTGTTTTCCCACACCCCACACGTATAATTCAGGAGCAAGTCTCATTCATTCTTGCCCTAAAACATATCACGAGCTTACGGCCATCTCTCCATGTACCCTGCCGCCATGTTGGTCTCCTGTAGCCACCGTTTCAGTCTCCTCACTGATGTACCTCTGACACCCTTTCTGCCTCTGACTCATCCACCAGAGATGAGCAAATACATATATTTTTAATAAATATATGTATTTATATATGTGTGTGTATATATTTATATGTGTGTGTATATATATATATATTATATGTTTGTGTGTTTATAGATGTATGTTTGTGTTTATATATAGATTTTTATATATGTATGTGTATGTGTACATATATGTGTATGTATGTGTTTTTCTGCCAGAAAGTGTGTGAGCTCCCCAGAAAGAGAGAGAGGGAGGGAGAAAGAAAGTGAGACAGCAC